TTAGAATAACGAGACTTTTTTGTGGATCTTCCGAGTATGAAACGGAATTTTATTGTAGTTCAATTTGCATTTCTCTAAATATTAGTGAGGTTGATAATATTTTCAGATTTATGTGCCATTGGATGTTCTTCTCCTGTTAATCACCTTACAACTCAAATTGTTTGCACTGCTGCTTACTATTATTTGCAGGAATTCTCGACATACATTCAGTTTGAGTCCTTTCACCATTTTTGTGGTGCAGACCTATTTTTCCATGTCATGGTGTTTTCTTAAATTTATGATGATGTCCTTTAATGTGCAGTCTACATTATTTTATTATTTATTTCTAGTATTATTTTAACACAATCAAAGTGATCATTTTTGTCCTTTATGGCTTGTGCTTTTTGGGACTTCCTTAATAAATCCTTCCTTACTGCAAAGTCACAAAATGTCTCCCTACGTTTTCTTTTAAACATTGAAAAATTTTTCTTTCCACAATTAAGTTTAGTTCACCTAGATTTTTATCTTCGGGTATCACATGAGCTGGGAGCTAATTCTGTTTCGTTCCCCATGTGAACAGCAGATCTCCCAGCATCGCTGCCGATCTCTCCCTGTGGGCCTGTGGTGCTCCCTCTGCCTTGTATCAGGGTTCACGCGTCTGGAGAGCACTCCCTGGAGAGGATGTGTTCCACAGCTCCTGGGTGGGGGGCTCACTAACTGTTGTGGGTCACGTTGCTTGACGGGGCTCTCTGAGTCCGCTGTGTCCTCGCTGATCTCCTGTCCACCCGTCACAAGGGAGGGGCGTCAAGCCTCCAGCTGCCTCTGGGGGTCTGTCTGACCTTTCACCTCTTCCAGTTCCCACTTTATGTATTCAGACTTGCTGTAGCCTCTTGGCGAATTCGCCCTTTATCGTAATAAAATGGTCCTCTGTATTCCTGATAATACTCTTCGTTCTGAAGTCTGCTTTGTCTGATACTAATATATCCACTCCAATTTTCTTATGATTAGAGTTTATGTGGTACATCTTTTTAGGTCTTTTTGCTTTTGCTCTATGTTTATATTTAAATCACATTTCTCATGGACGGCCTGTAGCCAGATCTTGTTCTTTATCCAGTCTGATAGTTTTTGCCTTTTTTTGGAAGTGTTAGACCATTTATATTTATTGTAATTATCAAATTGAATTCTACCTCTGTTTTAACTCCTTTTTAAAAATCTAAATAGTTCATTTGCTTCAAAGAATTTAAAATACAAGTATTTCATATTTATTCACCAAGTTGCCATTTCTGGTTCTCGTCACTCCTCCGTGTGGATCTGAGTGTTTACGCTAGCATCGGACACCTGCCAGGCACCTCCACACGGGCGTCTCATTTTGCCTTTGTGACAGCATTTGCAGGCACAGGCACTGTCCCCGTTTCACAGAAGTGGAAGTTGAGATTCAGAGAAGTTACAGGGGTTCCTGGTCTCTTGAAAGCAGATCCAGGATTCGAACGCAAGTCTATCTGCCCGTTGATGACTGTCTTCTGGGGGGAGAAAGAGCAGTGGTGGTGGGGCTCAGATGCCAGAGGTGCGGAAGGGTGCACGGTACCTCCCATCACAGAGAGAACACAACTCAGACAGTCTTCTCCTTGGAGGCAGATGCCACCATCTGTTACTGTTCACCACTGTATCCCCAGGCCTGGCACACGGAGGACATGATAAATATTGGGAGGATAAACAAAATGCCTTCTCTCCAGCAATTTGAGCCGAAGCTAATATGTAATCAGATTTCTGCAAAACTCCCAAAAATTATTGTTCAACTATTCTTGCAAATTTCTGATGTCCTAAGGCTAGTACACTAAAAGAAATCATGGAAGTTTGTTCTTAACCCTGTAACTCTTGGTTTGTGCAGAAAATGTGGCAAAACACCCTCCAAAGCACAATTTAGTCAACCGGGGTCCTCATATACGGACTTAGATTGGTGAGAACACACCGAGTACTGGTAGCTGCACTGGGGTGAACAGTGCCAGGCCCACCCTGACCTCAGAGAGGGGCCCTGTTTGTAATAAGGGTCTTTGCAGATGTGATTAAGGGAAGGATCTCAAGATGAGATGCTCCCGGGTTATCCAGTGGGCCCTAAATCCAGTGGCTGGTGTTCTTCCAAGAGAGAGAGATTTTGACACGGAGGCACGCAGGGGACAGTGTCAAGTGAAGGCAACAGGGCCTGGACTGACGGCCAGGAAGACCCTGGAAACCCCAGATGCTGGAAGAGTCACGGCAAGATCCTCGCTGGACGTCTCCTGAGGGAGTGAGGCTCTGTCTGCACCTTGACTTTGGATTTCTGGCGCCTAGAGCTGTGAGAGGAGACTCTGCTGTTGTTTTCAGCCCCCAAGTTTGTGCTGATCTGTGGCAGCAGCCCAGGAAGATCACACAGGAGACAGACTGAGCCCCGCGAAGGGCGTGGCCCCCGCCTGAACGCACCACAGTGCAGGCGCCTGCTGACTCCTCTACCCGCGTGTCCCCAAGGCCGAAGGGCCTGGTGGGCCCACGAAATGGGACCGAGCTGCAGTCCGGGTAACCCCGGTTTGGATGCTGTGACCCATCACGTCTGTATCTGTTCTAAATATCCTCGGGTCCAGCCCTCACTTGACGCGGGCACGGTGAGTGACGAGGTTGCTTCTACAACGGGCGTTTTGTGTGTGTGTGAGAGAGAGATTACACTATTACAGCATTCACTGCGCTGACACGTCGTGACCCCTTTGTTCAGAACCACCACGTTCTGAGCCCTTACGTGACCGTTGACAGCCGTGCTGTAATCCACCGAACCCCTGCTGCGTGGCTTTTTGCCTGTCTCGTTGCTGTAGGACATCTCAGCTCTTCCCAGCTTTCGTGGTAGTTGTGCTGGCGGCTGTTTTTACTGCTGTGCCCTGCACCCTGAGGGCCCTTATGTCCTAAAGTTGTGTCTGCCCCCTTTGGCTTTTTCCTTTAGCACATGGTCCTAGAGGTGGAAATGCCAGGTCGGGAATCACACACGTGGTCTCTGCCCCGGTCTCTCTTGCCATGCGCTTCCCTGCGATGCTCGGTCTGGTTACACGTCGGCACTGTCCACACCGGGCCGGAGGGGTCCCATCTCAGTGCAGCCTCACTAGCAGGTGCTCAGTGTTCGGTTACCTCTGCGCACGGAATAGACTTCAAACAAGTGTCACGCGCCGTTTTATGTGTTGCTTTGCGTTTATTTAATTCTAGTTACGTTAAATTGTTTGTACGTGTTTATTGCCATTTATCGACGTCCTTTGCCCTTTTGGCCATTGGGAAAATTTCCTTTCTCTTATTCTTTGTGAAAGAGAATCAACATATTAAGAGTATTATAGAAAATAAGATGTCTGGGCTGAATGTTCAAACGTATTAAAGCGGGGAGAATAGGGTTTTTGAAACCAGGCGCAGAGATGGGAAGGGACGCCAACAGCCTGCTTTCCCATTAACGAATTCCCCTTCCATTTCAAAGTCTGACAGGAAGTAAATGAAAGAAGGACAAATTAGATAGAAACAAAATGAGCAGAGACAGCCTTAGCATCTGTGTCAGACGCAGTCGGGTTCAACGCTGAAGAGACGGTGTGGGGGACGGCAACCAGGCTTCTCGCACCCTCCTGGCGAAGGACCAGGTTCCGTCCCCCTGCCGGGGACCAGGCATCACCACGCACAGGAAGGACGGAGAAGCTGGTTCTCTCCTGGGAGGTCGCTGGGACGACTGGTCAACCCAAACCCGTGGGCCCTCCTCCTCAGCACCCCCATGTCTGTCTTCCAGAAGGATGTGGGTCCCTGTGCGAGAAAGCAGGAATCAGCTGAAGTGACTGCAGTCGAGGGCCTGATCTCCTGGGGAGGGCCTTTCTCAGCACGGAAACCGGAAGAACAATAAGCAGATGACTAATATGTTTCATTTGCAGAAACGTGAAAATCCCTGCGCACCACAACACACGCGCGAAGGAAGACGGGTCCGCGGGAAGCACTTCCAGCAGACCCTCCAAGACACACGCCGCCCTGGGGGCGCTCACTGAGTGTGGGTCCCTTAACAAGGGCGCATCGGAATGCTGCCCCCGCGGCGCTTCTGGGCAGCCTTCAGCCAGGCTCGTGCCCTCCCCCCTCTGCGGGCCCCTGGTCCCCACCCAGCCTACGGCCTCGCTTGCCCCAGGTCTCTCCACCCTTTTCCCCCTAAGGCCACCCCTGACCGCAGTGTCACACGGTGCAGTCCCCACCAGCCACACCCCTTCTCCCAACCCTGCTTCCAGCTCTCCACAGCCCTCGTGAGGAGCCGACAGGATCGTTTTTCTCGTTTGCTGGTTTTCTGTCTGCGTCTCCCCCTAGAATCAGAACTGCCCGCGGGCAGCTGGCTTGGACCACTCTGTTCACAGCTGTTTCTCTGGCCCTCGGGGTGCCTGGCTCACAGGACTTTGTTGAAGGTACAAGTGGTCCCCACACGGTCCATCGGCGCCAAAGCCCACCACTGGGAGAGGGTTCAGGCTGTAGGCAGCTGGCTCAGAGAGGGGCTGGAGGTCACAGTCAGGACCGTTCTGGAACCACGGAGCTGGGGAAGCTGGCTTTGCTGGTGCCAGTCTGCTCCCAGCCTGCGTGCTCCTTCTGATGGTCCCGGGGCATCCACCCCTGTAATCCTCTCAGACTTTTCAGGGGGCTTTCTAGTCGAAGGGGACAGCTCCGGGAAGCCGACAGCACCCCAGGAGCCCCTGGGGAATGGCCCCAAGGCTCCGGGCCCTGCTGTGCTGGCTATGCTGGCTTTTCAGAGTGTTCATCTTAGTGCAGCAGGGGTCTGCAGCGCAGGGTGCCGGCCCGCTCACGTCCAGGGCACATGCCTTGGTTCCACCAGGCAGAGCGTGGCATCCGCTGGCCACGCCGTCTCGCAGCAGTGACTGAGTCACAGTGCTGGAACCAGGCGGGCTGAGTCTGCTGCTGTCCCACCCTCCCCCCGCCCCCCGGGAGGGAGCCCTGTGAGGGCATGTGTGCCCGTGCAGGAGCTGAGGGGCAGTCTTGCAGAGCAGACACAGGCTCCTAAACCCAAAGCAGCGCAAACACCAAAGCAGAGAGGACGTGCCTTCTGCTCAAAGGGATCGCTGGACGGGGGTGTTTCCATCAGTGTCGGCCCCAGACACGGTGACATGGGGGCTGTACTGAAGGGCTCTTGGGACCCCCATCCCCCGACAGGCTTACCACCCGGCCCTGCGATTTATGAACAAGTTTCAGTGAGAAGCCAACGCCTGGCCTCAGCTGCGCAGCCCTCCGAGGTGGGGCCTCTGCAGGAGAGCGCGCTGGTGGAGGAGGCTCCCTCGGGGGCCTTGAAACGCGGGCTCCGAAAGGCCTGCTGGACCCAGAAGTGACACCACAGGCCCGGTAACGCTTTCTTTAGCGTCCCAGGTCCGTAAGCAAGCTGCCGTTTGCAGCTGGGTGTTCATGACTGTTCTTGCCGGCGAACGTCACGTCGCGTTCCACGATCCCGTGCAGGGAAGGTTCGATCCAGCCAGTGGTGCCTTCAGGGAGGCTAAACCTGACCGACCGGAGCAGACGCCGGCCATTTCCCGGTAAATGCGTCCAGATCAAATTCTGAAGCCCCCTTTTTACTGGTTAATTCTGTTTTTGGTTTGTGGATCTGATTTGACTTTCAGATGCATTTAATAATTGCTTTAAAGGAGAACTTGAGAACATTAAACGCAGCCGCTCTCTCTCGCCCCCGGCCATCCCTGGGCTGCACTTGAGTTACTCTCTCTGAAGCCACGAGTGTGTTTTGAATCAAAACTGCCTGCCTGGCCTGCCAAGAGCGGGTCAGAGATGGCTCTCTTATTTTTCTGGGCACTGCGGAAGCAGCCCCGCCGCGACCCTGCCCGGCGGGAACCGGCCACTCGTGGCCAGACCGGAGAGTCGCTGGTCACGATGGACTTGACCTCACTGGGTCCCGCCCTCTGGGACTGTCTTCCTCCACAGGAAGGCGGAGACGCCTGCCCAGCCCGCATCCTCGTGTCCGGGTCCTGCTCCTCCGTTCCCGGCGCCGGGCCTGCCAGCGGGGTGTTGAACGCACACCCACGTTGTACTTGTGCCCAGTGAGGGGCCGGTGGCCGGTGTCCAGGGTCCACCGGGCAGGGCGGGCGCTGAAGTCAGAACACCTGGGTCCCTGCCTCCCCCCACCAGTCCTGGGCCCCCCTGGGCTATCTGAGCCTCAGTTTCTTCATCTGGAAAAGTGGGGTCTCGCAGGGCAGAAGTATCGGTGGGCAAACGTCCCTTGACACCAGCCTAGAGCAATAACAGCGGTGCCACCAGTGACCGAAGCCGAGACGTTCCTGCACCCATGCTCCTCCCCCGTCGGCAGGCGCTCTGCTCTGCCCGGGAAGCCGAGCCGGGCCCGGCTGTGGCCCTCGGCCACAGAGCTGGGTCGTTTCCAGGCCTCCCCCCGCCAGGCCGGACTGGCCTGCTGGCTCCCAGGCTGCCAGGACGTCCCCCAGGCCCAGGACGGGCTGCCTAAGGGCTGTGGGTGGGGCCCCACGGGGGTTGGGGGCCAGGCAACTCGGGAGCAGGACGAGGAGGACCCAGAGCGGGCGGCTTCCTCTGGAGCGACGGCTCCTCTCAACGGTGCTGAGTTTCATCTTCCACCTAAACTGACAGTGTTGAGCGGCGGGTTCAGCCAGGTGGGTTGGTTTGTGAGGTCACAGCCGTGAACGGCAGGGCCAGGATCAAACAGGGATCTTTGCAGCCCTGAAGCACAATTCCAAGACTTCAAGATGCTCTCGATTTCAAGACATATCCCCGAGGAGCTTTTAGGAAAAAAATATACCCAAGCAGAAACATTACTACATGAGTTATACATACTGGTTTTAAGACACATCCGAGAATTTGAAAATGAGAAGAAAAGAATGTGTTTTCAAACTGGGGCAGCGGCTACCCGCGTGGCATACATATGTCCACACGGGGGGGGTTTCCTTGTCCTGGTCCTGACTTGGGCTGGCACGGGCATCGGGAGAACCCTGGGTTCTCAACTGAGGCGAAGTTCCATGAAGTTGAGGGGCTTCGGTGGGGAACAGGAAGCGATGGAGGAGAGGCTTGAACCTGGACTTGGAGATGGGGGAGTGGACAGTGGCTGTGCCGTGCCATCTGGTCGGTAGCCAGCCCTGGGGCCTCCGTCCCTCATCTGCAAACAGGACTAACAGCACATTTCGAGGGGCCCCTGAGGCCACGAGGAAGCAAGGACGTGGGGTCCTGGAGCACAGACCAGGCCTGTGGGCCCCAGTGCACTCCCTGGAAAATAAGCGGAGATGCCCTGGTCCCCAGCACTCGGCCACGCGCTGCGGGCCGGCTCCTCTGGAGGGCCTGGCGGGGGCGGGTCTGGCAGGGGGTTAGTCGGGAGCCCCCAGACCTGCAGCCCCCGCCCCGCTGGCAGGGAGGCTCCGGGCAGCCG